GGCCTCGGAAATACGTTCAGTCAGCTGAGAAAACACAGTGTTATATTGTTCCGTGTTTATTCGGGTGCTTAGGAGCAAACAAAACAGCATCTGTGGTGCAGCTCTGGTTTTACAGAGGGTTAAGAAGAAGGAGCGGGAGGCCAAGTGGGTTTCAGCAAAACAAAAGCCCGTGATTGCATATAGTTTTCCAGCTCGGGGACGGGCAGCCGAGATCTCATGCATAAAATCAGACTTTAAATCTGATTGAAATGATTGAGGCTGAAGTGAAACGTGGTGGATGTGACTTTACTGGTGAGTAGAAGCGGCGGCGGTGGCGGCGCATGTTTTGTAGCTGCTGAATGATGCAAATCAGTTTCTGTGATCCTCCGGTGTCTAATCCACTTAAGCATCAGAGGCCTCTCTGCTCGTTTTGATGGATCTCAATAATTAATAACACGTTTCCTCCCGCGCGCTATCGTCAAACAGCCGTCAGAGTCTTCACCGCGTCGCTCATTTACACTTAATGAACGTCTCGTCAATGCACTGTAATTACTCGCTAATTAGATTGTTATTGGGCAGTTTGAATGCCCCCTTTTTCTCTTTTCAAATTGAATGCGCTGTCATGCCTCTTGTGGATGGGATTAAGGCTGCCTGTGCCACAGCGCTAGTCGTTTTATTCGGTAGATTTTAAAAGATTTGTCCGCAGATGTCTGAATTTATGGACCAAACGTGAGAAAGCCTGTCAGCACTTTGTGGAGCAGAGGTGTAGAGTTTGTAGATTTCACCATTTTCTTAGTTGGTTCACTGATTGGAGCCCACTTGGGTCCAAGGACCTCAGAGCGCACTGTCAGGGGAGTCATAAAACGCAGCTATTAAAGTCACATAATCCCTGATGTGATGCTGTTTCAACATAAAACCGCAGCGGCCTCATAACGCTTACCTTTCGGGGAGGCGGGGGGAGAAACAAGGGGGCAAGGAACAATAAGGAAAAGGCAATAAATTAAAATCCTCTGACTGCTTTTATGGGCTCAGTCTGATAAAGAAATCAGGGTCTTTTCCATCCTGTCACAGAGAACATGTCATGGGAGTTGAGGCCATTTCACTCAACCACTTGCCGTTTCCATTTCCTGGCAGCTGTCAGCCGCGGCACACAATCGAAGGGCAGAGGGGCCACCCCGCCACCAAAGCTGGGACAACCTCGGCATGTCGCGCCGTCGGAGCCACCCTTTGTTTTCCGAGGAGGACAATGGCAGCAGTGTGATGGTGGCGGTGGTGGGGGGGATTCCTCTGCGTGGAAAGTTCCAAGTTGGTGCTGATGATGGAAACCCAACCCGAGCAACGTGAACGCCAGAAGCTGCGCTCGTATCATGTCTGCGTGTTTGTTGTTCCAGCTTCGTCTTTTTTTTGCGCACGCCGAGAGGGAAGTTCGCAGACGCCCAGATCTCTTTTCAGCTCTCCCATCCCGCCCAAATCACGGGAGAAATCAGAGTCCCGCTGCGATGTTGCGCAACGCTCGTTCTAGCCTCGCAGGTCGTTGTGACGTTATTGTCAGAGAAACCGGAGAGCTCGAACATTAAACATATCTTTAGGCCTCGATCATACATTCAGATGCATTCCTTCGCCCCCTCACACACTTTCTCTCCCTAGTTAGCGGCTGTGAGGCTGGTGATCACGGTGGCCTGGTATTAATGGAGAACACAGCTTAAACTTTCAGCACCGCCTGTATAAATTGGTTGGCCCCTTTGGAGTGTTTTGCGCTGGGCATTGCAAGAGCAGTATATCAATACCCCGTCCACGAGCCAAGACAGATGGACTCTCGTTTGGAGCGGCTTCAGAATTGTGTGTGTGTTTTTTTTTTTGTGTGTGTGTGTAGAACTCCCGAAGGAATAAGTTAAGGGTTTCCACTGATTCCAAAACCTCCCAGCTACAACAATAACATCTGCGGTTTGGATCAGACACGTCGGTGATATCACCCTTTTTAGTAATATGCCTGCATTATAGCAATCTTACAGCCAGTCCTTATTGTCTGTGAAGTTTATGGAGGCATGGGATCCAACACAAATGATGATCTGCACTGCAGGACGTGGCTGAAGTTCTTTGGCAGCGGCTGATGTTTAAATTCATTTGCTGCTAATGCCTTTCTACTGGCTTCACGTTTTCATGTCACACTCACTTCCCTTCAGAGAATTCACATGTTTATTATTATTATTATTATTAATATTAAGTAACGTTGCAGCGGGATAATACTCCGTTAAAGTCCAAATGCTGTGTTATTTTCACAAGAGCGCTCGTATTGTTGCATAAAAGTGCTCCTTGACCCTGCTGAGCTGGGTTTATTTGCTGCGCTCCAGCATGTTGCCTTTCAGCAGAGAAAACACGATAATGCTTTACAGCCTGTAAATTACAGTTTGAATATGTTTCATATGTTTTTATAAATGTATACTTACCTGGTCCTTATAGGGAATTGTGTTTGGGAACGAAATTACACTGCAAGAGCTTTTTAAAGCACCCGGTAAATGCACCGTAGCAGCATGTATTTGAGGGTAACGTCACAGGAGACAGATTGCTCGTGCAGTATTTTACACCATGGTCTCCTTTAACTTCAGTTCACTTGGTGTTAAAGCTTCGCTATCACTTTGTAGAAGGTCACATCTTGAGCCTCCAGATGCTCCTCAACAGCATGGATGGCTTCGGCATCACTCTGAAAATGGCGACAAGCGGGTTTTCAGTTTGGGATAGAAGTCAGACGATGGCAAGGTGGGTCAGTAAGATGTATGAGGAAACATGTTAAAGCCACATGTGGCTGCTTCTGCCACCTGTCCTGGAGCAACAACAGCCATCTCAAAGCTTCCCTTTCCTTGTTTTTTTTGTCGACGACGATATAAGGCGTTATTGTTCATAGTTATACCCCAAAATGGAACTTATGTCCATCCCTCCGGATGAGGTCGAGAACTTTTTGAGAACCAACGTAATCGTGAAAAGAAGTTAAATTTTGTGAGGCTCTTGTTTATAACAACAATAGTAGTGCATAATATCTATATTGTGCTTTTCAAGACACTCAAAGATGCTTTACAAATCAGATAAGACAGAAAAAAGAATAAGGCTGTTTTGGTTATGTGGTCGAAGGAGAAGGTTTGGTCAAAGATGGCGCCTAGATGTGAGGGGAAGTGAGTACAGTGCAGCTGTCAGTGGTGAGAGAGGAGTTATGGGTGGATTTGGTGAATGATATTGGACCAGTAAGGATGATTTCTGATTACAGTTTAGTTTGAGAAAGCTTGCTTGCAGCCAGGACTTTATTTCTGTTATGGAATTGATGATGGTGGAGATATAGAGTTGGATGTCGTCAGCAAAACGGTGACTTTGGAGTCCATGGTGGCGGATTAGGTGGCCAATTATATACTGTATCACTACACATAAATGTAATGTCCTTTATCCAATCTGAAAGCCCTCATATGCATCAAGCAGCCACCACATTAATACCACTGACAGGTTAAGTGATTACCACCAATCATCTCTTTGAGCGTCTTGAAGTTGATGTGTTGGAAGCAGGAAAAACGGGTAACGTACGGCTCTGAGAGACTTATATCCAACACTGCAGGATTTGTGGGGTATTCAGGGTATGTAGTGTTAATACCTGCCAAAGGTGGCCCAAGGAAGGACAGCCAGTAAACTAGCAAAATGGTCATGGGTGCCATGTTGGTGCCATCGCGTCTTCTTTTACATCATGTAGACAACCATGTGTCATTAACGTGTGGAAGACATGGCAACAGGTTGAACCATAAGAAGAAGGCCAGTGTGATGCTCTGGTCAATGTTCTGCTGGGAAGCCTTGCAAACGTTTCTTCAACATTGCTGCAGACCGTGGCCATCACTTCATGGCAGCAGTATTCCCTAATAGCAGTGGATTCTTTAAACTGGTTTACTGCCACGACACAAACATTGTTCAGGAATGTCTATGAAGATTGTCAGTCATCCAGGTCATGTTTGTTCTCGTGGATTAATCGTAGCAAATGGACTTGCTTGAGTTCCTTGAAGACGTTCCACCTCTCATCCAAGATCCACTGACTAGTTGGGAGATCCAGATATCCTTAAGGAGCCATTCACACCTGAGTCATTGTTCAGGAAGGATTTGAGGAACACGATCAAGAGCTCAGGGTGTTGACTCGGCCTCCAAACTCCCTAAATCTCAATCTAGGCCTCAAATTGGTGACTCAAGAGGGACCTGATAATGATGATAAGCCAGAAGGGTTTAATGTTGTGGCTGATTGTGTACTAAGTAATACTCTTAATACTCTATTTGGTAATTTGTCAGGATCTAAAGGCTCATCTTGCTGCTCTTCTCTAACTTCAGCACTGATTGTGAGATTAATCTGAGCTCGGATCCCACAACTGTTCCTCGCTATTATATCATCATTTTAAAATGTGACGTTTTTATAGCTGTTACTGTAAATGTTTTCTTCTTCTTTAACATAAATCCCCCCCTTAAACGCAAATCTCCTCACTTCCAAACCTCTTGTCCTCCTCCTCCCTGAGTGTAATAAGCATTTTATTGATACCTCATGTGTACTAAATAATTACGCTGCAATTTGTGGGCTGCAATCTAGTGTTACCAGGGTGGGGAAATCTTGCACAATGTTATGTTTTGCAGGGTTTTCTGTAAGTCATTATTTTGAGCAGATCGAGCGTTATTTCTGATGCCGTTGCTTCCTTATGTTGTGCAAGCAGAAGTTCATCTTTTAAGCATTTACAACTGCATTAAAGCACAAATAACTGGTGTGTTGCAATAGAGAGGACTAAAACAAGGACTGGAAGTGTCATTTCATTTGGGATCATCCTCGTTTTGCGTCTTTTTTTTTCTTTTTTTAAACACAGCTTTATTTCAGATGAATTAATTTTCAATCCTATCAGGCTGTTCAATAGCAAAAAACACTTACCAATACTTTTCATTACAGCCAATCTACAGTCAATGCAAAAAAAAAAAATAGAAAAAGATCAACAACAAACACCACAACAGCCACATCGTTTCATATGTCATTAAATATATTCATTTGTGATAAACATAATATATTAGTATTACAAGACATTACACAACCATTTGCAATGGACACTGCTAAACAACATTTACAAGAAGCCGATGTAGAAACACGGGCAGATAATTATTCAGATATAATATTTATGGAGAACAAAAGTCTGGCAGGGAGTACCTTTTCTGCAAAACAAGTGGAAACGTGTCGGTACAGTCGTGTTGGCAGTGACGCTATGAGCACTTTGTAAGCATCCAACTCATACAGTATGATGCACAGAGGTGTATCTGTGTGTTCATGTGTGTGTGTGTTGTGTGTGTGAGTGTGTGATCCTCTGGGTGCACATACTCAGGTAAACATGAGAAAACTTTGTCTCACATTCATTTATTTGTCTTTCCTTTTATTAAGCCTCTAGTATTTAAAACTCTGGTTAAGTTCACATGGAGATAGATCTAGTTAATGTTTTAACAAAACAAAAAAATAAAGTAACACTATACAGCTATATAACATGTAGACAATCAGTCATGCCTTTTTTTGTTGAGTACCAAGTCTTGATAATGAAGTCCGGTCCTCAAAAAGGCGCTTTGAGGTGACGAACATTTGACACAGCCCGGTGCTGAACGCACCGCACGATAAACATCTGTGATATTTTTTTTTTTTTTATCACTCCACAGGTTATTTTCTCACAACATTGAATACTGCATACAAATTAAATGTGTACATAATTCACAATCATTATTAGCCAGTCAGCTACAGTAAATAGTGAGCATGCAGTATGTCAGTGGTATGAGGTTGCTTGATAGGTCGATATTCTTTTTACTTCCTTGTCACTTGTAAATATTTTGGGACATCCAGCGTACATTTTATTAGAAAGGAAACACTAAACTCTGACACTTGTGTAGTTGTGACAGCGTCGTTAGAGTCCAGCAGAAACACCATCAGTGAGACAATCAGGGCTTGAGCTGGATATTAGGGCTGAACAGAAGCAGATTTACTCGTTTGTGCTGTCCAGAGAAACGCTGTCACACGATTTAAAGACCCCTCTGGTGAAAGCACCTCTCAGCATGTCCATAGGGGTTTTTTTTATATGCTAGTTGACGCATTTCCGCCTTGAAACTGCAGATTTCTTGGGTTTCATGTGTAACAAGTTTAAGGAACCGATCCTGTCAACTTGCAGGGAGGAGCTTTACCGTTAATCATCATCATTATTATTATAACTACTTCAAACACTTGTGGCTGAATTTGCAAGTATTAAAACTCACTATCGAGTAGTTTTACTATAATTTGCAGGTGAGCTGGTGTGCTTGAGCCACAGCTCACAGGTAGAGGTAAAGGGGGAGACTTCATAGATCTGCACACTGTAGAGGAAGAAATGGTATAAAGTTGCATTTAAGCCTTTTTACGGCAAGAAAGGATTATTTTCATGGGGGAAAAAACATCTAAATATGTAATTTGGAAACCTAGAGATGGGTTTTAAGGAGTTAAATCAACAACTACGAAGGGATTTTACATTTATTACACGCTGGAACTGAAGCTTGACTTTAAAAAACAAATTACATCATAAATCAAATCCCAATATCGATCACAACAAAATCACAATTACCTATTTTCCATAAATTGTTCAGTCCTACTAGCTAACTTTTTATTTATTTTTTGCCTCAAATGGTTCTGCTTTTTGGATGCCACTCTAAAAATGTCTGTGAACATATCTCATATGTTCTTAACCTCTGACTAGTAGAAATAAGTGCATGGTTGACATGTCTACTCTACGTCTAGTTGATGCCACAGCATCATCTACGAAAAAATAATGTCTATGTATCCACATATGGTTACTTTACATTGCAGAGGTCACAACCACAACATACGGTTGATATATCGAAAAGCGCTGAGCAAAGACTCGCTCGCAGTGAGATCATTGTACAGAACGAGGACAGGATCTTAATGGCATTGTTTCACTGAGGTAACACTCACATATGAGCAGGGAGCTCTTATGGAAAAAATGGCACTCTGAGACCACAGCTGTGGACAATTTCACAATTTTTGACTTTCACTGTTGAGGAGGGTTCTTCAAAGTTTGGCAGGTTGCAGAGAGCAGCTTCTCATACATGAGTAGAGTCCCTCAATGCCATGCAGTAACTTTTCATTTAACTCGACGACGCTCTGCACGGCACAATGGAAACGGATCCTCTGAAGACACAGAATGCTGATACAGAAGATGCATTGCTCCTTAAAACAACTGAATACAAGACTTTAATAAACAACGGCATCATGGGTGAAATCGTCAGGATGAGACATATCGGTAACATTAGGTGCAAACTCTGCAATTATACAACAAAACAAACCTTGAAAGACAAACAGAAACAGAACAACTGTAGAATGAGCTCCTTCACAAAAGTTCCTAAAAAAAACAAAACACTAATCTCTTCGCTCCAGCTCAGAGCAGCAGCACTCAGTCAGTCCCCCATTCCTCCTACTTTTCTCCTGTGTCTCTCTATTTTCGTTTCTTCCAGTTTTTTTTCTTTTTTTCCAGCCATCCTTTCCTCTTTCTTGATTTCATCCCGGCAGAGGTGTTACTTTGCCTCCACCTCTCCCTTAATCTTTCTCTTTTTTCTTCTCTCCAGCTACTTTTAGCACTTTCCCCTCTTGTCGCGCTGTTGGAACTTCCTCAGCCGGCGGCCCCACAGGTCCTTCCAAGGGATGAGCAGGCTTCCCTTGTCGGCGACGACGCCGCTCTGGCCGGGGGAGTCGTCGTCTGTGCCCAGGAGCAGGTACTTCCTCCCGGGCTTGATCTTAGGGCACTTGCAGGCTACGTCTTTGGCGCGAACCCACAGCAGCTGGTCCCCGCGACGGATGCGGTGCTCACCTTGTTTGTAGACGGAAATGATGTTGACGGTGAACTTCCACCACTCGCCCGCCTTGTCTCCCTTTAGAACGTGCACCTGGACAGCTGGTGGAAGAGAGAAGCAAAGGTTAAATCACCTACATGAACAAGAAAATCCAAAACTGTGACCGTTCCAGGTACAAACACAAACCAAATTGATTCAAAAACTGACCACTGTTATGAAAGCGTACTGTATAGTGTATAACAGAGATGAGTACCCGCTATGCAATACCACTTTGTTATTCAACTGTATTACCTCACGATAAGTGCATTTCCTCTAATTTGTATGGTAATTAGTTGCCC